GAAAGCTTACAATAAATATCTCTCAAAGATAGATATATAAAATGAAACTTTGATTTTTCTGTAAATCTCACACAAGAAAGATGAGCTTAATGCTATAATGCTCAGTATATAATTTCTGAGAATAGATGTGAGTGATTATAAATCAAAAAATATTTTCAGGTTTTTGTAACTTGTTTACATTAAAGTCTTTGGTATATATAATGAAAATTATAGTCGTTTATAACTGTTGTAGTCATTTGAATTTATGGTCATTTATAGTCATTGTGTTATCAGCTGACTTAGTTGTTTACCATTTCCAGGTGTTAGAAGGACTTAGAGTGGACTCATGGCGTAGCGGGGACTCAATTGCATGGACCTCTAGGGCATTTATTTAATTTGTTTTAGGTTGCTTTGTCGAGTTTTGTGCATACATTGTGGTTGGGTTTTATTTAGAATTATTTTATTTTGTGGGCGGTTTGTGTTCCATTTAGTATATATATGTTTTTAGGAAGTTGGTTATGACTTGTTTTTCACTTGTGGTATGTCACTGGATTGAGTGTTGATTTATTTATTTCTGGGCTATCATCACATTTATTCTTTATGGTTTTGGATTCATATTTAGGCTTACGTGTGCCTTGGGCTAAGTCCCTGTGGGCCACGGCCGGTCATGCCCGGATTTGGGGTGTGACAGCTTGAGCGCTAGAGAACCCGCTCGAGCGCGAAATCACACATCTCAGTACTTTTGCAGGCGACCAAAACTTCTGAAGCCAGGGATTCTCCGCTCGAGCGGGGGAATGTCCGTTCGAGCGGACAGGCAACTTGGAATGCATTTTTGCATTTTGCTTCGGGGGCGCTGCCCCCTGGACCCCCGCGAGCTGACCGGGCAGCTCGATCCCCGTCATAATCAGCGAAGTGGCAATCTTGAAAGCATTAGCATCACAAACTTCTCTAAAAAGCATAATTCGGGTTGGATTCGCATCTAAACACTCATAGCCTCACTGAAATAAAAAGTGCGAAAATAAATACAACTAAAAGGAGTTTTGTCAAACGGGATTGCCAAGAATAAAACCTAAAAAGTTGGAAGCAGACGTTGAGGGTTCCACGGTATCTCTGTGGAGCCATCTCCGATACAAACAGTGGCACTGACTGTAATTTGAAACAGACAAGTTAGAGGATGTGATGTGGCTGAAATTAATTAATTTAGAATTTAGTAAATTATTAAATACAAACATACATTATTATGTTCAATCAAAGTGCGACTGTATGTAATAATATTGGATTGGATTGGATTGGAGCAAAGAAAGAAAGAAAGAAAGAGAGTTTTTATGAAATGAGTTACCTGAGTGGCGAAACCAACACCAGCACCTAACAAAATTCGACTAATGATGAGCATAGCGAGGTGTACAGCGAAGGCATTGAGAAGAGCACCGCAACAGAAGACACAATCGCCCATAAGCATGGAAAACTTGCAGCCCAGTTTCTTGGTCATCGTCGAGGCGAAGAATGATGCAAAAAGAGCAGGCAAATACAGGGACGACGTAAACATGGTCAGCGTTTGGCTGTTGAACTTGCAGTACTGATTGGTTGAGTGATCGAGCTCTTCCTTCCGATACACAGACGGGAAAAACTTGTCAAGAAACGGAGCCATTGATGTCACCCCACCTAATCATCATCACCGTTATTAATCAATATCATATATATACATGAATAGACGACATTAATGTGTACTAATTGGGCATTGATTTTTTTATGAATAGACAACATATTTTTCAAAAGTAGCAGAAGTGAAGATTTATTAAGTTGAAGATGGGCTTACCAGAGATACCGATGTCATAGCCAAAAATCAGCCCACCCATGGCAGCGACGATGCAAGTTACCAAGGCATACCAAGTCAGTTTTCAGGGATAATCCTTCGGGGAATCATCACCGCCGGGAGTGATGAGAGTACCAGCCATCGCTTGATTGAAGAACAAGAACAAGAAAAATATAGAACAAGGACGAGGATGCATATATGCAGTAATCGATACTAAAAAAGCAGAGAGAAGAGCGAGAGTTGGGTTTGTAGGCAAGGCATGGATGGTTAGGGGTGTTTATATTAGGGGTAATGCTAGGATACCAAAATTTTTACCAAATAAATGATCAAATGTCTCGCGTGGATTGTGGGCCATGTGAGACATTTACTCATTTATTTGGTAGAAAATTTGAGACCTATAACATTTTCCTTATATTAGAGTGAGAGTGAGAGTCAATATGAAAGTTGAATCGGTTTAGGATTTGGAAAAGTGCCAAGGAATGAAACTCTCTATTTCCTAAATCCAGACAGGGTTTGATTTCTTCAACCAAATAATTTTGTTTGTTTGGATGTTAATTCAGCTACCTCTTTCTTTTCTTTTTTTTAATTTTTTTAGTGATTTTTTTAATTAGATTAAAATTTTTATTTTCAATCCTTGTACGTAATGAATCTAAAAAGTAAAAAATAAATAAATAAGCTAAAGTAAGTCAAAAAAAATTTACTAATTTTTATAATTTTTAAAATATTTGATTCTTTCGTTGAACTAAATTTAGAAGCCTAAATTAAAAAAAATATATATATATATATATATCATATATAAGTCCACTTTTTAGATCCACTTTATAGATGCAATGATGTGTAAGTGATATAATTGGTTGATGATTAGAGAAGATGTGTAAATTTGGCCCAGCCTAACTCACAGTCAGGTCGTGCAGGCTCCTGCCAAAATTTGGGTCGGGCTGACCCGCATGCCAGAAAGTTAGGCCCAGGCCTAGAGGGTACTCAGGCAAGCCTCGGGTCGGGCCTGACCATTTTTTTTCTATTTTTTCATCAAAAATGATACTGAGCCTTAGGTGGGTAGAGCCTTGAGTGGGCTAATGGAAAGGGCTTTGGATTGGGCTCACGAACCAGGCTGGGCTTCAAAACAGACGGCCCAAGCCCAAGCCCAGGGTTTCAGGCTGGGCTCGGCCCAAGCTCGGGATTGGATGGGCCTAGCCAGGCCAAGCTGCGAGGGGGCTTCAGGTGGGCCGCCGATCGGTGTGCCAAATTTGCACCCCTAGATAAGAAAGAGAGTGTTACTTTTAATATCCTAATTGATTGTCACATCATCAAGCTTGAAAATTGGGTCTAATTTTTTGTCTTAAATGGCAATGCTGAAACAAAAATGAGCAACAAAAAAGAAAAACCTACCTGTAGCACTCTATACTTCTTGGTATAATGGAATTATATTTGATTCTTTGATTATTATGATTGAGAACATTCTTAGCAGATATTTGAGCCTTGGTCGAGGTGTTACCACAGTGGTTGGGCGAAATTGGATCAAAAACTCTAAATTCTAATAGTTGTTATTGAGTAGTTTTCACTCTTTTATCATTTTCTCTCTCCACACTTTGAATCTTGATATGAGGCTAGAACCATTAAAATTCTTACTTCTGGGGCTTCAATTTGGACATAAGAACGACCCTAAACGGAGTACGGACGAGAGAGTTATGCCCGTTTGAAGTTTGTGAATCTGTGTTGTATGCATAGTTCGCTTGAGTGCAAGTTTCACCGCTCGAGCAGTCCACCGACCCTTCCAACTCTATTTTTCAAAATTTTTTGAGATACTGGAAGCCTCGATTCACCGTTTGAGCTCACTTTTGACCTCTCGAGCGGTTTGTCCAGAATCAGATCTTTAAAAGTCACTTTTTTTGGTCAAATCTCTTCATTTTTCACTCCCCCTTCTCCCTCTTTTTGTTATTTTTGAGTTTTCAAGCTTTTAACCTTGATTTCATTTATTTCTAAACATCTTTGACCTCTAGTTCCATATACCAAAACATAGAGCTTGGCGAGGGCTTCCATTTAATCTGAACGGATCATCGTTTCGTTGCCGACGATTTTTGGGTTGTCTCCTCTTTGCTTCAAGAGGTAGGGATTCTTTTGTTCCTCTTCAATACCTCTTTATAGATAGACATGTGGTAGTTTTTATTGCATTTAAAAATATATTTGTTAAGGGATTTTCCAAAAGCATGAGAGGGGATTAGGGGTTTGAGTTTCAGGAGTTGGAATTGTATGATTGTTGGTTGATTTGGTATGTTGGGAGGTAGTTAATCATGTCTACGTTGATAATGCAAAAAACCCTAATTTGTCATTAAGAATTAATAAACAAAGAGGGGTAAAGTTGGGCAATAATTGGGTTATGTGTAATGAGATTGAATTGATGCTTATAAGATTTAACAAATGCTTTAGGGGATTGAATTAATGCTTTGGATGCTAAAAGAGATTAATCGGGCCTAGTGTTTGCTTTGTTTGTGTTGCGTTGAGTTGGGATGAAGTTGTATATCTTAAAAAGGGTTTTATTAATGGCATAGAGGTTTTGAAAAAGGTATTAGGGTATTTGAAACAACGGGTTGGGCTTGATAACAAAACTATGTTGGTAATTCTTTTGGTTTAATGAAAAAAATGGTGGAATTAGTTGTGAAATCGCGTTGTAAGGGTCTTGTATTTAATTATTAGAGTTTTGTCCTTAGTCATTGGTGGAGGATGACATTGTTGTTGTTGAATAGATTATGAGTATGTAATACACGTGTGGTAGTTGTGTGATCTAGCATGTTCTGATGTGGTTGGAAGTCCGTTTCTCTCCGGTTAAGCTGGTAAAGCGTGGAACTTTGACAGAGGTTCCTCTTCGTCCCAGTTTGCATCTGATAAAGTGTGAAATTGAGATCTGTTTCTCTCCAGGAGGCCGGTAAAGCATGGCGCCTTGAGATAAGTTCCTCTCCTTTCCAGTTTGTGCTCGATAAAGTGTGACCTTGGGGTTGTTTCCCTTCGGGTAAGGCCGGTAAAGTGTTATGTGTTATGTGGGTTGTATCATTTGCCATCCATGTTGTAGGCCAGTGGAAATGGAAGTATGTATTACGTTCAGTTATTTATATTTAGAAATATATATTTCTTAGTATCTTGTTATAGGTGTTCCTTACCCTTAGACCTATGGCCAGGGAAGATAGTAGATGTGTGGATCCATTAGTGTGTGTAGTGGGTTGAGTTATGGGATTGGGTTATAACTCGTATATGTGAACTTGCTTTCAAAACAAATATGGAGACGGAATTCTTTTATATTAATGTAAAGGTTTAAATAACCAAGGTTGTATTGTGAAGAAATGCTTTTGAATCTAAACTAGATAATTGGAAAGAAAACAAATGGTTTTACATCTTGTAGTGTTCAAATGGATGCTTTTGGAGAAAATGTACTTATATAAATATATTTTGAATATTAAATTGTCACATTATTTATATTGTACGTCATGGTGTATTCATGATCATAAATATATATATATATATATATGTTGTTATTGTTTAGGATCATGTTGGAATCTTTACTGAACTTTATGTTCATCCCACGTTGCTAATCATTTTTCAGGTGTACGTCGAGAGATGATTCAAGATCAGTGATCCTCCTTAATTGTTGGCCATGAGGCCTATACTTGTTGGCGGAACGCCATCGTTGAAAAAAGGTTAACCACTTACTTTTAATGTAAAGATATAAGCCTACGGGCATTTTGTTTAAATGTAATTCCTGTTGCATTCCATGTATGTACGATTGAGTGGACTTTCATTTATTTATAGATGTAATGTATGCATAATTCTGCATGTTCTTAAAGGAAAATGATTTATGTTAATGGATATGGTAATGTTACTCGGGTAATAAAAAGTGGAGCGTGATTAAGGATGTAATCGGTTCGGTACGATTGGTATTTAGGTACCGAACCAATAATGTCGGTTTTATTATTTTAAATACCGATACAGATCGTTTCTTTTGTCAAACCGAACGGAACCAAACCGATTGAAACGGTTTGGTTCAGTGTGGTTTAATCGGTTTAGGACATTTCAAACTTGAGCCACTTTTTAATTTATACAGTCCAATCTATGTAAAAACATTGAATTAGTTATTTGTCCACCACTTTAAACATATTCAATTTATCCATTTAATAAATATTTTCAAATTCCTAGATTAACCAAAATACAAAAAAGTAAAATTAACAAATACTAAGGTTTCAAGAATAAAGAGCTAGAGTTAATATTATATATAATAAGAGTTTACTAACTTAGATTATAGAGATAATAAGATTAATTAATGATGTTAATAATTTATTATACTTATTAATATCGTTATATTATAAATATAATATATGCTGAAATAGTCGATTTCGGTTTAGTTCAGTACACAAGGTGCTTGAACCGATACCAAATCGAAAATAAATAAAAAAAAATCAAATTAAAAAACTACACAGACCGATTATTGTTAAAAAATATACCAAATATAGTCGTTTCGGCCCAATTCAATCAGTTTAGTCGCTTGTTCAATTTTTCTTACATCCCCAAACGTGACACTACCAAAGTAAACAAACTCCAAACACCAACACCTATACCACTGCACCACGTCACTCTCAGCATGTTTGATTTCTTACATGGACTCTCTTCATCGGTTGTCACAAATGAAGTGGTTTAGTCGGTCATTTGTTAGTTAGTTAGTGGTTGCACGAAGGTTAAACTTGTTACTTTTAATATTTTAATTCATTGTCACATTATTAGATTTGAAATGAAGTGACTTAGTCGGTCATTTGTTAGTTAGTTAGTGGTTGCGCGAAGGTTAAACTTGT